ATGTTGTGGTTCTAAAATCTGTAGTTTATAGGTGCAGGCCTGCAGCTCGGGATTGTCTGTGAAGCGACTGCCGGTTTACATGTCATCTTAATGATTTCAGTCTGACAACAAAAACAAAAATATATGTAAATAAGACCAGCTTTATTGAACTATAGCGTGAGCACTGGCAGCCTGAGAGAAGTAAACAGACGTAAACACTGGCTGTGTTTAGGTTGCACTGAAGCCCAACAGGCAACGTGAAAACACAGTAACCCATGGCAGCCCTTGTTTACTGGTTTCAAACTGGTCGTACCAGTTTCCACCATGTCTGAATGTCCCTCAGCTTTATAGTTCCCATAAAGTTCTAACATGTAGTCACACAATCCAAGGTGATGCTAATGTTATGTCATACAACATGCTAACACTATTCCTAACGCTGCCACCTGTAATATTTAATCTGCTATTAATTCACCAGTAAAATCAACCCACTGGGTGTTCAGCTGCTCAGATGCTGGGAGTGCATGAAGACTCTTACGTTCACTCTTGCTGCAAACAGCAGAATATTTGATGTGCTTTGTTAGTGGCAGAAGCAGCTCTAGTAAATAAATAAACCTGGTGGAGTGGGAGGCAGCTGCTCTTTCTAAAGAGGTCACATGGAAGCAATACGATGTCGGATTACTCAAAGCAAGATGACTGTTAGTTTCTATTATACCACTTAACAAAGGTCTGACTGGTATATAAAGCTGGCAGAATATCCTGTTGTGAGGAGGCGAGAGGAACCGCAGTTTTCATATTTTGGAGGATATTTTATGAAGCACAGCAGTGTTGTAAGAATCTGTTAATCTGATGCTTGGAGGCCCTTCATGGAAGGTTAGAGGTCAGGAGTCGGTGCCTTGTTTTGGGGGCCTTTGGCAAGGTGGAAGGAAACGTGGTGTTTCAGAAGCATTTATGTTCAGTCTCCTAACCCACTGTATTACAGCCGCTGTGTGGAGTACATTTATGGGCATTTATCTTAACAAAATGGATAAATTAACTAAAAAAATCAGCATGAATTGGGTCAACATTCTTAAACCAGAGGCAGCCTAAGACTTGGATGTAAACACACCTGGAGCTGAGCGGTCTGCTGCACTGCAAACACACAACATGCACCTTTTTTTGCTTTATTCCCAGCAAAACATGTGACTGACAGACGTTGGACGCAGGCGTTCACCCACAAAGCAGCACAATTCCGAGACCAACAAACAAAAACCCAGCCTACCTTATTCATTCCATTGCCCATGTTGCCCGTGGATCAGTGTGCGATGAGCTACAGCGACTTTAAAGACGGCGGACAGCGATGATCTGGACTTTGGAAGCCAACAACGCAGGCTGGCGCTGGATGACGGTGGGTGGGTGATATTCGCGTCGCTTGCTTAAGTTTTCCTTCTGTTCAGCAGCATCGTTGGACGTGACGGCTGAAGCGGCTGTATTTATTCCCCCTGACCTCGTCTCGGCTCCGACAACAGTTCCGTCATGCTGCGCGCATCGTCTTCCGGATTGTTTTGACGTGAAACAACTGCAGCTGCGGGTTCCGTCCCCGAAGTGACATCACAGCATGTTGCAGTGATCTCCGGCTGTACTTCCACACATTCACCTTCAGAGGGAACACAGACGCGCTCCTCCGCACCACAGACGGAACACTGTTAAGTGTTTACGCATCATTTCACGAGGAATCCCATAAATCACGCAAATGACGTCATTATTTTTTTGCAGCATGCCCCCTCCTCTGGAATCCGGAAAAACACTCAAAAAACTACATCCCTCCAGTAATCCTGTCCACTGCTGTAATCTGGTAAAGTCATTGGAAAATAATTACATTTACGCACTTATAACCCAAATTGCGCATGTGCAAAGGCAATGCTACTTTCAGTGAATTGGTGGTAGAATACAAAAATAAATTCCTATTACCTCCCACACAGCCTGCTATTGGCATCCACGCCCTATTACACTTGAACTTGTTCTATGGCACTCGTCCAGATTGTTCTCTCCTGACTAGATCCTTGCTTGTGCTGTATCCGCCTTGGATAAAAGCAAAATATTTCCCCCCTGCAAAGCTACAGTTGTGTGTATTTCTATCTTGTGTGCTCAAGTGTCTGTCAATCCAAGCTTATTATTGATCAGGCTTTTTGACATGCCATACCTCTAAAAATTAAGTTTTTGAAGCTAATCGTCCATTTGCAAATGCAACAAAAAGCTTCAGCAACTAGTTCACAAGAGTCACACTGAAGCCAGTAACGTTCTGTATCTAATATCTGCAAAGGGTTAGAAGTAAAGTTGGTAGCAATTTCACACCCTACTTGAGAAACACACTGCTTCCTTTTCTCCTGAGGAGCAGCTGCACAGCCACAGAACTACTACAGAGAGAATTATTTTAGTTATAGCCCACAGCTGAAATATATATCAGAAGCATCAAGGCCCTAAAATTTTAATCGCATTTCTTCATAAGAAAACCAGAAAATATGAACAATATTGAAAGCCAAGTCCCTCTCTCCTACGTTCTCATTTGATGCAAAAGCAGCATTCATGCAGAAAAAAAAACACAACTGGAGACGTTTTATCGGTTTGACAGTTTTTATTCTTATTTCTAAAATAAACATTGACCATAAGAGGAAGTGGTCTTCCAAAATGCACAGACTGAGGTAAAGTGAACAGTTGATAAATACAGAAATAAGCGCGTTCTTGTAACTTTGAGTTGGTCGTTTTTATTTTCAAGTATGTACTGTGGTCCTCGGGGTCTGTTACTTTTTCCACATCCTGTTCTCGTAGTCCCAGTTGGCAGAGAAGCCCTCCACTGGGTTGATTCTCATGTCCAGCATCCTCTGCAGCTCCATCTCCTTGTACTCTGGATCAAATGTGTGTGGGACAGGTCCATACACTGCAAAGAGACAATATCATGTGTCAGGTCATAAGCGGAATTCAACTGTGAGGAAAACATTAAAATACTAATTTATTCTGAGCCTGTATGAAAAAAAAAAGGGGGGGGGGTTGGTTGTTAAAAAAAAAAAAATTTTTTCTGTATGAAAAAAAAAAGGGGGGGGGGCTTGCTTGCAAATTATAGCCATTTTTATTCCATATTTACCAAACTTTCTCTGCCAGAGCACAATAAACCCAGTGAAGCCAACAAAGAACAAAATTCCTGCAACGACAGACTTCCACTCTGATGATCCCTGGTTCATCTCAGCAAAGCTCTCCTTGAAGCTGATGCGGTACACTGAACAAAGGAAAAACACAACTCTGGATGAGGTTTGTAAGAGTGCAAAAATCACTTTGAAAGATGCAAGACATTATAATATATAATGCTCCAACATTTAGTGGCAATAAAACCAATTTAGAAACAGTATGAAATGCTAGTCCAACTCAGAAAAAAACATTGTTTGGTGTCATTAAGTCCTACATGCAATCTTCTCCTCATTGGAGAGTGCAGCCCAGGAGCCCTTCTCCTTCTCCTTCAGGGACTTCTGCTCCGCATTCAGGCTCTGCACATAGCAGATATCTGGGAGAGGATTCTCCCGCCTGTCAAAGTAGGCAGGGAGAGTGTAGTCCTCCACCTTAGCGACACCTGCAGAGGAGGACATAAAACTGTATCAGATTGTCTTCATTCATGTCAACCATAACCTTCTCTTGAACCCTTATCTGAAATGCCCTTTGAATTCTAAGACTAAGATTTGCTCTATTTTTTGTAAGACGATGTGAGAAGATGTTTAATGCTGAAAGAGAATGTTGACAGCTGTGAACATCTGAAACTTGTCCTCTGAAACTTGCTCCATCTCCCAATGCAGTGTTTCTAATCTACGCAAATAAGTTGCTTTTTTCTGTATCTTGTCACTATTGGGAATCTTTTGAAACATGTTTTCAGGGTGACTGTTCTTTCATCCGATATATTCAAGGTTGCCAGATGTAAAAAGTTCAGATGTCAGATAGTGGAGACATAGAACTGTTTCTTTACACAGGTTAGTCGCGAGTCTTGTTGGGACCAAGTGACATTTATAGACTCATGTGATCGTGAACACAGACAGTTTATCTAATTCAAAGGCTCTGCTTAAAACAGAATATTTTAAAAGGCTTTACCCTGTGACAAAGAATTTACCATTTAAATTTAGAGCTAAAGACACAAAGGTACTGGAAGTTAATTAGGAATATGTATATATATGTGGCAAAAACTGAATCTAGTCAAGAAAATGTTTGCTTTATGTTATGTTATGTACTCACCATGTCCTCCACGTACGCAGATAGATGTGGATATGGCACGCTTGCCAATTAGACTAAGGGCTCTGGTGGCCAGCATTCTGTGACAAAGGTCATATGAGAGTTATTAATAAACTCATTAAACATGTTCATGCATACATTTGAGAATGTATATCACATTTAATTGTTTTGACCTGACAATCTTGAGCATATGCAAAAACAACAATCCATCAGACACCATGCATATCAAAAATTCTGAATGAACTATGTGGATGAATGGTTCAATTATAAACCATATATCTGTCAGTAAGTCTATGAAACAATACGTCTCCCAGCACTTGGTAATATTTAAGCGGTCGTCCAATAAAAGTGTCGATTGCTGTTCAAAGTAGGTCAGTAAATTACACCGCGGATCTGTTTACTTGTACGTGACGAACTGTTGATAACAGTGCGCGTCCAGACCACAGGTTCAGCGTTCACCGTTAAGCTAAGCTAATGTTAGCGTTAGCTGAAAACACAAGGTCAAAGCGCCCGAGAAAAAAAATCACAGAAACACTAGCTTCTATCACATAATGGCGTAATAATAATCTTTTTCCCATTGACTGAGACTGCATTTAAGCAAGCTCGTGCTAGACCACTGAAACATTTGTTGTATGCCTTCACAAATCTGATGCGTACAATAGCTACGCGGAGAGTTAGCCCGTCCTAGCATCGATCCGCTCTGACAAAGTCACTGCACACGACTGCCTATTTCGGTTAAAACTGCCAATTCATCATTTAGATTTACGCATATTTAGGATATGCAGAATGTCAAAATATGTGTAGGTGGTAAACATAAAGACCCGATACATTAAACATAAAAACTCCAACCTACTCGCTCTTCCTTGCTCCTGTCCGCCGATGGTCTGAAGGGAAGTGTGATCGTGCACGGAAAGACGTAAAATTATGCGCCAGATGATCTGGTTTTACGACACGCCCTCTCCGCTTTGCGGCACCACCGGTGCCACAGAAACGAGTGGAAGGTGGAAGTAAGATTAGCCTCTGTGGCTGGGCACCGAGTCATTTATCTAGCATACAAACGCTGTTGTGATTCCTGATATCTATCACGCGTACATGTACTCGCCAGAAGACAAAGCTCCGACCTTATATTCTGGCAGTAAGGTGACTGCTGAGGTTTATATCTACTTTTCTCCGGGCATGAGAAGTAACGCTAGCTAGCGGTAGCAGTCCCTCCTCATCGTGTTACTAGCCACTCAGCTACTTTGACAGCAGCTGTCTTTCCATTGATTCTGCCGACTTTCCTACAAACATGCCCATTCAACTGACAAGTCAGGCTTACTGTAAAATGCTTTTACACGCTGCCAAGTACCCGCACAGCGCCGTGAATGGATTGCTGGTGGCGGAAAAAACGAAGGAGAAAAAGAAAGACAGCCACAGTGATCCTGTCTTGTGCGTGGACTGCGTGCCTCTGTTTCACGGCACTCTTGCTCTGGCACCAATGCTAGAAGTAGCTCTAACGTTGGTAAGTACTCTCACCTGTGTTTGAACACACCTGGTTGACACTAATGCAGTCTAATAGAACATTCCTGCGATGACAAATTGATGGTTTTATGGTTCTGATTCATTGTTCTGGTCACTTGATGGGCTGCTGAAGTGCACTGCATTACACTAACAGGTGTTTATAATACTGTGGTGTCCTTATTTATACTGGTGACAGATTGGGTTAGATATTAGAATCACCTCAAAGTGTGAAGGAGTACACTTGAACAGCACCACAGGTCTCAAACTTATGGCGTTGTTTTCTCCTGTCAAACATTAAGTTCTCCTCTCATGTTGGCTTCACCTCTTCCTCCCTCCTCAGATTGACACTTGGTGTAAAGAGAACAACTACATCATTGCCGGATATTATCAAGCTAATGAACGCACGAAGGATTCAAGGTACAGATCACCAGACTGATACGACCATCCTGCTGGTTCAGGAAGTACAACCCAACCCACAATGTTTTTCTTTATCTCTCCCGCAGACCAAACCAAGTTGCAGAAAAAGTGGCTGCCAGGATTTCTGAGAACTTCAGCGACACAGCAATTGTTATGGTAATGGATCTTAATGGATTCCATTTTGTCCATTTACCACTAATAACATAAAATGTTTACTGCTTAATGTTTTCCAGAATGTGTTTGTAGTGACGAACATATTCTTTCCACATTTAATTCATTATCGTAAAAGTCAATCAAAATCCTGAAGAAGCTATTTTGTCTCCATTAGCTTAAATCCCCACTATCTGGGATTTGATATTTATGTGCAGACAATGGTTGAGTATAAAATACACACTGTCATTTTGAAGATTTCTCCAAGTTGTCTCTACAGTCAGTGATAATATTATTCAATGTAAAGTTGCAGCTTTGTGATCAGTTCGTTAAAGTTTTTAATTTCGACAAAATCTGATGTATAACATACAGGCAAAATTGACATAAGTCGCTCCCTGGAAGGTACATTTAATTTGTCGAAAATGCTGAATTGTCCCTTCCATCCATCCATCCATTATCTATACACCACTTAATCCCTGCTGACTCAGGGTGAAGGCAGGAGACACCCTGGACAGGTAACCAGTCTATCACAGGGCTACACTTAGAGACAGACAACCAAGCACACTCACATTCACACCTACGGACAATTTAGAATCACCAATTAACCTCAGCATGTTTTTTGGACCTTGCGGGAAGGAAGCTGGAGAACCCAGAGAGAACCTACACTGCTGTATTGTGCTTTTACAAATTATTAGAAACATTTTAAAGTCTGTATTTGCTGTGAAATCTATTGTAAGTTTCTGCCTTATTTTTTTTCTCTACAGGTGGACAGCAGTCGATTAACACTGAGCTGTTTTGAGCCCATTGTACTTATCTATGATCATCATGAAAACAAATGGAAAAACAGAGAAGTGACTTCGTAAGTGTCTCATTGTTAAGAGCTGTTTCGCTGCCAAGACTTGTAAACTACTGTATATGTGGACCTCAGTCAGAACATCTAGTCCACAAACTCCCAGTTTTCTCTCATAACTTACAGATTTTAGCAGTTGCATTTTAATAATTATTAATAATAATAATAATAATAATAATAATACATTTATTTTGTGTAGCGCTTTTCACGATACTCAAAGTCGCTTAACAGGGAATAAGATAAAAACAAGAACAAAACAAGTTAAATACAAAACAGATTTAAAAACAAGGTAGAGAAGGCAGGTACAAAATAAAAATGTTAAACAGTTAAACATTAAAAGCGATCTTAAAAAGGTGAGTTTTTAAAAGGGACTTAAATGTGATTACCAGTTAGTAACCAAATTGACGTTTTTGTGTGTCTTTCAGTGACTCTTTTGAGGACTGGAACGAAGCACAGAAGATCACTTCTGCTCTGCTCGAGAGCAGGTCCTACGAGAACTTGATCGACTTTGATAATCACTTGGATGATCTAAGAAACGACTGGACGAATCCTGTCATTAACAAGTCCGTCCTGGATCTGTGCTAAGGCCTTCTGTCAGGAGTCTGCCGGATGCACACACACACAAATATTGCTGCCATTTCAGCATGCATGATGCTACTAATTGCGTAGCAACAGAAGTCCAAAAATGCTGAACTCATAGTCTGTGTTCCATCAAAAGGCTCCCGCACAGACGGGAGCTTGCGGAGCGCCGACCAGTTAGGCCAAAATCTCTCAAGGGCAAGCACCATACGTGCACTGTTGGCCTGTGTCCACCTTTACACGGTGTTGCTGAGGTGATGAAGGCAAATATGTTTTTGAATGCAACTTAAATGTTTTTTTTTCCTGCAATGGTTTGTGTTTATTCATAGTTATGTGCAAAAAAAAAAGAAAAAAATTAAGTTCGTAAGTATTTGATTTCTACATTTACTCTTAAATTTTGCAGCCGGTAGCCATACAGAGATCAAGTTCTAAATTATTACAAACTTTAGGTGATGATTGTACTGCTAAGATGTGATATATGTTCTTATTAAATTTCTAGTTTGTTTTAAATCCCCAAAACAAAATTCACACATATAAGTGTACTCTGAATATGTTTGTTGGCAGTTTCATTTATATAAAAAAAAAACTATTGATGATAAAGAGCCAGAGATACGGGAACCTCAAAGCTTTGTCCTGTTCGACTGCAACCAACTCAAGTCTTTCTGTGAATGCACCAGCAGGGACAAAAGGGACGCTCGACTCAAGAGGTGCGACTTTTAAGTGGCTCGTGCTTAGACAGTTGTTTCTATGATGCATGTCTCCTCTTATTGTGTGCTTAAGAATGTTATTCTGGATGATGATGATATTACATGTGTGCGTTTTTGATTTACGGTTTGCAAGATTTGTTCGAAACACTCAAGCCGATCACAGGAATGTGTGAATTTTGTTTTGTGTTGGACATCCGTTTTAAGAAATAGATAATAGTATGTATTTATACTTTATTGACCACTCTGAATCTAACTATTTATAAAGGAATAGTTTAAAAAAAACAACTAATATTTATTGTGAGGCTAAAGAATCAGCTTTGTATTTGAAATTAGAGTTAATTGGTTAGAGCTAAAAACAATTGTGTGGATATCACATTTTTTTACAGGAATTTACTGAACTGAATGTACAATGAAACTGATTTTTGAAAGGATCTAACTTCTTGCCAGACTCGTTTTATGTCATTTGTGGACTTATTTTGCTATGTGTCTTATACCACGGCCTTGACAGTTAAAGGAAAAGGGTTGGAAACAGTCACTGGGGTTGTTGCAGCTTAATGATTTAGCTTTGTCTGGTTGGAAAACTGCCTGTCAAAGGTTGTGTTTATGGAACATGTATGTCAAGGTCACGTGGGATCGTTAACAGAACGGAGAACAATATGGAAGACATTTTCTATGTCAGTTTGCCAGACGAAATTTATAATAAACATTTTTATGTAACTAACATTGTGAAGTAAAAATACAGAAAACCGATGGTAGAGCACCTTTTTAATCTGGGGAGGAAACTGCGTAGGTACTGCAGCTAAGTCACAGCAAACGGACACACCTCAGACTTCTTCCTCTCATAGTAATGTGTGCTAATTAGAGTTTATAAAGTTTGTATGCTTCTTTACAAATTTTCCAATCTTCATATTAAAGCATTTTACGAAACAACACAAATAGTAAAAGAACAAACCCCCGAGGAAACACATTAAATCTACAGTTGATCCTATTTTCTTTTCTAAAATATAAAAAGCTTCATGGCTGTATCCTAAACAGCTGCAAGATTGTGAACACCGAACAAGACTCCATACTTTTGTTTTTCCATCCATCCATTATCTATACACCACTTAATCCACACTAGGGTCACAGGGGGGCTGGAGTCTATCCCAGCTGACTCAGGGTGAAGGCAGGGGACACCATGGACAGGTAACCAGTCTATCTATCGCAGGGCTAGACAGACAACTAAGCACATTCACATCTACAGACAATTTAGAATCACCAATTGACCTCAATATGTTTTTGGACCTTGTGGGATGAAGCTGGAGAACCTGGAGAGAACCCACGCTGCACGGGGAGAACATGGAGACTCCACGCAGAAAGATCCCAGTGCCCCCACCGGGATGTGAACCAGCGACCTTCTAGCTGTGATGCAACAGTGCTACCACCGCTCCACCTTGCAGCCCTCCATACTTGATTGTTTTTACAAAAAGTATTTTTATCCAAATACACCATTATTTAACAAGTCATGCTCCTGGAGGTTGTTTGACCTAAAATCCAACAATGAAAGAAGCAAACTGAGCAACTAAATAACATTGTGATTTTTAAAAAATATGCTCAAAGGATATTACCTCAGTATAAATTTAGTTCTTCATCAGTATTCAGTCTGTGTTGTGTGAATGTTGTGAGACCCCTTGTCGACCCCAGAAAGAACAGCTGCGTTTATTTAGTAGCTATTTGGGATTCACTACAAAGCCCAAAAATATGAATTTAAAAAAATATATAGAGATAGATATTGTACATAGTTTAAACCAGACATTTACATACCCCGTACTTATTATTTATTAGGCTTTTTTCCCTAAAAAAATGGGACTTGAGTCCAAATTTCATACCACTAACATGTGAATGTGAGCTGGCATGACAAAGTTCCTTGAATGCTTGAATCCCAAAAAGACATGGAACCTTCTTTTTCTCACTATCTGATATTAAATCAGACTAAGCTTGTCCTGTTTTAGGTCAGTTAGGATTACAGAACCCGTCTCCTTCCTGAGCGCTATGATGGCTGGACATTCTCATGGTGTTTATACTTTGGCATAATTATTTGAACAGATGAACTTGGAACCTTCAGGCATCTGGACATTGTTCCAGAGGATGAACCAGACTTGTGGAGGTCCACAATTCTCTTCCTGATATCTTGATCCTGATTTCTTTAGATTTTCTCATGTTACCACAAAAGGAAGCAGTGTGTTTGAGGTGTGCCTTAAAATACATCCACAGTTGTGCCCCCAATTAACTCAAATATTGTTAATTAACCTATCAAAAGCTTCCAAAGCCATGACATCCTCATCTGGGCTTTCCAAAATAGTTTGAAGGCATAGTAATATTAGTGTATGTAAACTTCTGATTTCGAAGAAAGTAATAAAAAGTTCTCTGAAAAAACCTCTCTCTCATTATTCTGGCATTTGGCAAATAGAAATAATGTTGGTAATCCTAACTGACCTAAAACAGGAAAAGTTTAGTCTGATTTAATGTCAGACAGTAAGAAAAAAAAATAGGTGCATGTCTTTTTATACAGTGTATGCAAACTTCTGGTTTCAACTGTGTGTGTGTATACATATATAATTTAAATATATTTATTCATCCAATTTAAATCAGATTTGCTCACATTTCAGAGCATCGTGCTGCCCTCTGTTGTGTCGCTCGGTGAATACTCCCACCTAGTGGCTCTTAGCTGCAACTGCAGCTGCTGCCAAACGGTCACATGACCCAATTCTTCCTTCCGGGCCAGACAAAGCAAAATATCCAAGGTATGGTCAGCGCTGTCATGACCGACCGCCTTCTTATGCGCAAGCAAACAGCTTTAAATCTACAATTTCAGAGTACAGTTTAATCTCAGACTTCACACACAGCTGATAGAAGCGACTAAAGACAAAGGTTTATCGTGTAAACGAGCACGCGAGGGCTCCCAGGGCACACGCTGCGGTGTCCCCTGTTGATGACGCAGCTGTCTTCTCCTTGTCTGCCGCGCAGGCTCATGCAGCCCGTAGCGCGGGAACAGTTCGCAGAGTGACTGAGGGAAGTTTCAGAAAACAGAATAACAAACTGCAATGGATCCTTCAGAGGTAGAGTTCCTCGCCGAGAAAGAGATGGTGAAGATAATACCGAATTTCAGCCTGGACAAGATCTATTTGATCGGGGTAAGTAAGTCGCCTCCGTTCGGGAAGACTTTATTTTACTCGGTTAATCAGTTGAGACGAGAGAAGTTCACAGTGACCACAGCCGCATTAGCCCACAAGCTAACGTTTGTTTATGCTAAACATAAGAAAGAATTGTCAGAAACTGTGTAGGTGAGTAGTGGTAGCTTTAAATCCAAACCTTGTAGTCCATACATGGTACAAATGGTGGTGTACTACATGGATAAAAACATGGCTTGTGTAATAATAATGCGTCAGGTGCTTCTGTGTATGAACTGCATAATAAAACGTTTGTGTTTCTGTCGTCAGGGTGACCTGGGTCCCTTCAACCCCGGACTGCCTGTGGAGGCTCCTGTGTGGCTGGCTCTCAACTTCAAACAGAGACAGAAGTGCAGGATTGTTCCTCCTGAGTGGATGGATGTCGGTAATGTTCTAAAGCAGCACAGACACAATGCAGGTGTTAGAAGTGTGACCGAGAGAGTGTGGATAGTTGATCTCTGTAAAAATATAATGATTAAAATGTCTTAAAACTAGAAAGCCTTTTTCTGCTGTGTGTGACGGGATCACATATGTTGTGTGTCATGTTGTTCCAGTGTTGTGATTGATTCTTTACAACATGAGTTTTTTTTTTTACACCATATGCTGCCTCATCATAACTTAACCACCTGGCACCTCCATGTTTGCCTCAGATAAGCTATGATTTATGGGAAAACGGTTGCATTCACAATTTCCCTCCAGTTTTAACAGGCAGTCAGTCATAATATTTTTACAATTGGAAACATTTAACGGCACCTTTATCAGCTGCATGTATATTAATTTTACTTATTATACTATCAGCATATATAGACTACTCATTGGTGGGTTTGATTGTGTCATGCAATCTGTTAACACTGAATATAAAATAAGACACTCCTATAGCTCATGTGGTTGATCGGGCGACCCGTGAACAGGGGCTGCAGTCATCGTGAGTTCGACTCCCGCTCATGACAGTTTGCTGCAGGTCCTCTTCTCCCCCCTTTCTTGTCTCACTCTCACTATCCTGAATAATAAAAGCAAAAAGGCCAGAAGAAAATAAATGAATAAAATGGAATGTTGCCTAACTTATCTTTTAAAGATTTCAGACTGACGTTTTGATTGCACCTCTCCTTGAGAAGTCACATCATTTCTAGCTTAAATGATGTACTGATTTAGTCCCTCTGGATGTGATTGCTTACTGTTGACGCTCTGCTCCAATGTGCAGAGAAACTAGAAGAGATGCGAGACCTTGAGAGAAAAGAGGACACCTTTACGCCTGCTCCCAGTCCGTACTACATGGAGCTGTCCAAACTGCTGCTGAACCAGTGAGTCATACAGTGTACACTTAGGAAACCCTCATGCAAAAATATGGCCTTTTTATTTTTTTGTGTTTGATATGTATTTGGCTTTGAACTTTACATGATGGTTTATGTGTTTCTGCAGTGCATCCGACAACATTCCTAAAGCAGATGAGATCCGCACGCTGGTCAAAGACATCTGGGACACTCGCATCGCCAAACTCCGCCTGTCTGCTGACAGCTTCATCAGTCAGCAGGAGGCTCATGCCAAGGTAAAGCTGATCACATAGATTTATATGGACATTGTGCCTCTATTATCATCTACTGTCAATAGGCTATATAGGCCGTAGCTATATGTATATGTCAAGGCCCAGATTAGAATCTGGCCCGATTCCGGATCGGGACGGCCCAGATTGGAATTCCAATCTGGAATTGGGTAGATCAGAATTCCCATCCAGAAGATTCTGATTGAGGCCAGCAAGTCAAATTCCAATCTGGGCCCATAGATATGTATAATAAAGGCTTTTATTATACATATCTATGTCTGGGCCGGCCAAGATCAGAATTCCAATATGAGCCAGGTTGGTGCCAAGATTCCAATCAGAATCTGTAGTAAAAAAATGAAGATTCCTTTCTGGGCCGGCCCAATTCGAATCTGGGCCTTGACATATATTGTATTTTCTGTTCTGTGCTGCCTCTTGGCCAGGTCGTTATTGTAAATGAGAATTTGTTCTCAATTAACCCACCTGGTTAAATGAAGGAAAAATAAAAATATACATTTCGCGGTTGTCTCGGTTCTTCCGCTTTGCTTTGGCCACAATAAGGAACTCGTTTTGTGTTCCTCTTGTTCTATATTCAAGAAAGGTGTTGAACTGCAATGACAACAAAACCTAAGTGGAATTATTGTTTCACTCTAAACATGAAGAGAACATGAACATGAACATGAGGTAGAACTGAACAGTGCACAGCTTCAGTTGTTGCTCCATCGATAGGATTGGACCAGTCATAGTAACCGTGTGACTGAGCTTTCATCCCTTCATCTGTAGTTGTGTTTGTTAGCATGTTTGTGTGCAGCTATAACTCATCCTGTGAGCATTCACAAGTAGCATCCGGTGTAGAAAATGATCAAAAATAAAAACACACATTACCTGTCATAGTGTAACACTCCATAAGTTTTCTTCATGGTTAAGTACAATTGGTGACAAATACTTAACAGTAGCAGAAAATCTACACTTGAAATCCTTTTTTTTTTGTCTTTACATTGATTAAATGTTTTTGTAATCCTCTATGAATCCTAAACTGGATTTAAAACTTGAACTTGTCACTGTACCTCCTTCGCTCTCCAGCTGGACAACCTCACGCTGATGGAGATCAACACCGTACGAGCGTTCCTTCTGGACTCTCTGAACTGCATGTTTAAGCTTCGTTCCAACCTGCGGCCCGGCTCCAGTAAGGGACAGTCTCTGGACTATTGAGCCACGAGGTGGAGGCCTGCTGAGCAGGTCTGGATCTTTCCTAAAGGACTGGGGTTAAACCTTTGCTCTACGGTGTGTATTTACTGACCAGTACCCAGATTACTGAGAAGACTGAAGAAAGAGTTTTACTCACATGTGCACAATATCTGCAGATATCCAATGTGCTGATATTTTCCATCTAATTTGGGCGATTTCTGATGCTGTTACATGCACGTATTTCTTTCTCCTAATTTCAGAGAACATCGTGTCTCCTGTGGTGGAATTAACCGACTCTTATTGTGATGACATTTTTCTGTTGTAACTTTTCAAATGTTCACCTTCGCTGGGAAAAATAAGAAAAACACTTGCATGTGATACATACCTTGTTTATTTATGTGGCCCTCTCATCTGCCTTTACCAGCCAGCATGCCACTATCATCATGCATCCTTGGTTTAGCTCGTCCTTTTAAGGGATCGTACTTCCTCTGTAGAAGACTTGTGTTAGTTCATACATATTTAAAAGCAGGTAAGTTGGATCACAGGCCCGTATTCAATTTAAGTGAATTTATGGTTCTTGCTACAGCCCCCATTTTTGTATATTTTCTTTGTGTGACAAAATAAATCTATTTGTGTATGTGTCTGGGTGATAAACGTGTCCTCTTCTTTTCCCTTCAGTGTTTGATTTTGTCCGTTTATCATCATCGTCTGTATACTTTGGAGATTGATTGAGGCTTGCTCATATTACAACGGTAAACAAAACTATCCCTCATATCTAAAACGTCCTTTTAAAGTGCAAGGAAACATACTTACAGTCGTCCTCAAATGTATTCATACCCTCCTATTAAAGAAGGAAAAAAACATCCATCCATCCAT